TTTTTTTAAAAAAACTTCTATGGCTATGAAACTCTACATTAGTATTATTAAAGAAGAAAGCAGTTAATGCAGAACATTCCTTTAATATGCTACACAATCGCCAATCTCATACTCACCACTTGGTCTGCAGTAAAATCTATGTAGCCAGGGAGAATAAGGAAGTCACTGAATAACAAAGAAGGAAGAAAAATGTTATTGAGCTTGTTTGTGATACAAATACAGTTCTTGTTAATGTGTAAATATAGCTTCTATTTTGTGAATCTTTGTAAGCATGTTTGAGAAATTGCTTGCTATAATTCACATCCCAGGAACTCTGATGCTAAGATCCAGACTCAAAATGCTGCAACTAGGCAGGTTATTGCTTAATAAGAACAATCTAACCCTCTTAATAATTACAGAGCTTAATTCCATCCCCGCAAACCTTATTTCCTGATGACGTGTGTAGCTTATTTTCCTCTTCAATCCCAAGAGGGGTTTGTTTGTTTTTTGGCTGATTTTCAAAGAAGATAATTATGTCACTAATTGTAGTCACAGAACTTCAACATAATATGTAGCTTGAGCCTAAGAAATTTGCATGCGCATGCAAGGCCAAAACTGCCAGATCCAAAACATGTTAATGGAGTGGTGAAATTCAATTTTTTTTACTACCGGTTCTGTGGGCGTGTTTGGTGGGCGTGGTGTGGCTTGGTGGGCATGGTTTGGTGGGCATGGCAGGAGAAGGATACAGCAACATCTCCATTCCCTCCCCACTCTGGGGCGAGCCAAAGGTGGCATTTGCTGGTTCTCCAAACTACTCAAAATTTCCACTACCGGTTCTCCAGAACCTGTCAGAACCTGCTGGATTTCACCCCTGATGTTAATGGTCAAAGCAGGTTTCATCAAATTTCATGCACACCTATGCAGCCATAACACTCTAACACTGGTCTCAAAAGGGAAGGTAAAATGCAAGAACAAAAAAAATGAACAATGTATAAGGATTAAAAATAATTTAGCAAAAGCAAAAATGTACCCTTAAGCCACAGATTCTAAGGAAAGCAATAGCAATATATTTCCCCCCAAAAATCTCTCTGTGATTCAGATAAGGGATTGTTGTTGTTTTTTAAGAATTTATTTTCAACAGTAGAGTTCAGCCCACGGAATTGTTACATAACTAAAACCACTTTAAAAATACGCATGTCCAATTAATTCATTAATTCCAAGGGCTATTTCCAGAACTTTTTTTGTGTGTTTTTGCCTTTTCAAAGGACAGACTCTGTAATTATAACTAGCGTATATACATGGATGTCAGTCCTTGCTTTCTTGAGGAGCAGTACTAACCAAGATTTCATCTCGAGACCCTGAAAATTACTATATTGAGTGATAAATTTTATTGGCTGTCCATCTTACCACAGGATAACCCGGGGCAACTTATAAAAAGGTAAAAACTATGCAAAGCTAAAAGCCATAAACAAAATACTATGAAGAACCAAATAGCCTGGCCTAATTAAAAGATGGAGTGAGTGGGAACAGGGTGGGTGGGAGGAGAGATCTGTTGTTAATCGATCAATCACATCCACCATGATGCTTCCCCATTGGAGCCTCAAGCTAACTGGCAGAGCCAGGTTTTTATATTCTCATGGAAGGTCAGGAAGATAGGAGCTGACCTCACTCACCACTACCAATTAGAGTGAAAGTACTAAACTAGATACACCAGTTGTGACAGGAAATATGATCAAGATTTTCCAGTTATAGGGAAACTCTTTCAGAAAAATATGGATATCAGGCAATTGAATTTTGCAAGCACCTTATCATGCACCTATCTATTGGAGTTTCCTTCTAATCTTTCTATTCCCCACTAATCAGTCAGAACTGATGAAGCTGTCTGGATGAGAAGCAAAACGTTTTCAGGGAAAAAAGCAAGAAAGTCCAGTTGCCTTTTGAAAAGCACCGTTGGGACAACCGTGACCTGAATGATTGAGAATCTCCACAGACATTCAAGAGGAAATGCTAGCTGATGTTTAACCAAACTATGAATCAAACTTGAAAATCTTCCAGTCCTAAAAAAATCTTCCATTGAACTTCTTATACAAACAGATATCTAAGGTTATGCTGAAAACACACAATACTGAGATTTAACCTCTACACACTTTTGTAATCCTAATCTACCTTCTGTACTATTAATGCTTACAAATAACAATTTTATAATGTTGCCATTTTTACATATAATATTTGTATGGATTTCTGAATCTGACTGGAACTTGCCTTAACTATCTCTGTACAAACTTTATGTTGACTCTGACACTAAAATGTGTAATATAAAAATCACTTTCTGCATTAAAATGCAATACAATGAGTAGTGCTAACAGCTTGATGAGAAAAATTGCTTGCTTTAAGGATTTTACTGCATTTATCAGTAGATAGAAGCTGACACCGATTGGTTATAAAGAATCAGGTGTTTCAATTGCAAAGCGTATTGCACATAGATAACAATTATTTATAGATAGCAGTTTTATAAGGCAGGTTATTATGGGAGTATTGCTGGTATGAAAAGACAATCAACTTACAGGATAGGAGTTATTTTTAAAACACTTTCTCAAATGACTTCCTAGGCAGAAAAACTTACGCAACGTATGTAAACATGCTCTATCACCAAGAGAATTGGAATCACACGAAACTCCATTTGCTAATGACGGGATGAGTATAGAAGAAGACAGTGAATTGAAAAAAAATCTAGCAGTTGGAGTTTCTGCCATGTAAGTGATATACAAGTCCTTATTCTTTTTGTTTTTTGGAAAACAATCTCAAACTTTCTGATAGCCATGCCTTATCATTTGAACTCCTTTAATATGATTTTGGCTATTCTCATGAATTTTAACTGACTTGTTTTTTTTACTGGTAACTTCCCTGAGTGTGAAAGGTAAGACATGAACTATAAAAATAAATAGAGTGCCTTATTAACCACCAGCACAAAATACTCAGAACATGGTTGGAGTGCATTCACTGTCCCTTCCAGTTTCTTATATAAAGATTATGACCTAAGGACTAAAATTGGTCACATGAAGCAACAGGTGGCTTAGTAATGCATATGCTGTGTCCAAACTTCGTAGAAACACATGTAACCTGAGAAACTATATTAAATGATTCCCTAGGATGGAACTACACCCCCCCCCCCAAAAGGAAAGCAATCAGCCCAGTGGCATAGATAGTACATAGCAACATGTATATTTCACATTTGTGACCACAACATTTAAGAGACAGACACCATTACCTTATAAGCCTGCAAAGTTTAGAATGTTGAGATATGCAGAATATATGTCAAAATGTAAACATTAAATTTAAACTATCTATTCCCACTTATGACTATAACCATGTTGCTTGTATCTTTAAAATTTATATTGTTTTATTCATTTCCTAATATAATTTGATTGCTTATTAGTAACCTATGACTATCACTAGGTGTTGTATCTTATGATTCTTGATGAATGTATTCTATTTTATTTTTCTTTATGTACACTAAGAGTATATGCAACAAAGACAAATTCCTTGTGTATCCAATCACACTTGGCCAATGAATAATTCTNCCCCAAGAAAGAAATGGCATGTCTTATTTATTTAAATAATTGCCAAGTTTTACCATCTTTGTTTTACTGGATTGTTGTGCGCTGCCCAGACACTTTCTGTGAGATAGGCTACTATATAAATTTGATTCATAAAAATAAAGTCATTTTTTCATGTTTTTGTTCAGTTACATCACCATTTATCTTTATGTATTGTTTGAATGAAGATAAACACTGGTATGTCCACAAATGTTAAAAAAGAAAAAAACTTTATATGGGGTGTACTTATTTTTTCACATGATTGTATAACATGTAGGCATATGTCTGTGCATACACACTCATGTAAGGAATTCCCAAGTACCTATTTGGAACACAGTTACAGATAGTTATCTGGAGCAGTGTTACGTTTCCTTGCCTGAGGAGGAGCACAACTTTTCCTGAAATTTTGCTCCTTTCTTTCTATGCAGAGCTACTTTTCTTCCTGAATAAGGATGTATACGGATTGTAGCTTAAAAAACAACAACCAAATAGCACTCATTTCTCATGGAGTTTTCAGGAAAGCAACAGGTAATTTTTCATAGACATCTAAGTTACTTGCTCTCTTCTATAATGTAGCTGTAACAGTAGGCTTAAATGCAGAAAAATGTGTTTTTCAGAAAACCAATCAGAATTACACAGACTTTAATTCCAATCTCAATCAAGCTGCTTTATGAGAAAGGGGAAAACCTGTAAAATTAATGCTGAACTGAACAATCATACCAGTGTTAAGTTCTAACTGGTAAAAACATGGTGGAAAATATGAGGTCGTCATCACAATATATTTAAGTGGACAATGGCCAAAATATAATAAGTAATGCAGAAAAACAAAATACTGGGTTGGTCCCAGCAAAACATAGTTCTTATAGTTCAGTTCTTCAATAAAAAAAAATTGTCAGTTCAAATAAAACAGATGTCAAATGGATGCAAAAATACAACTTAGAAAGTTCTAAGGACTGCATGTTTTTGCTTTTCCTTTCTACAACCAATGTTATACCCAACTGCTGCCAGCTGAGGTAATGATGAGGAAACGTTCTTAAATTCTGATGGATTAAAATCAGTTGTCATAAAGTTATGATTCTATTCTCTCTAAATGCCAGTACTAATAAACATCTGCAGTAAATCTCAGACTTTCAGGTAAGTAGGCTACCTGAAAAAATTTAAAAGAAAAATCCTGGCCTCAAATACCTGCTATCCCAATTCCAGATTCATTTAATTAAAAATTACAACAAAAGCAACAAGTTAGTATACTAATAAACAATTTCTTGCACGAATCCCATAGAATCAGGTAACCAGGAAAAAAAAACTTGTTTAAATAGGCTAGCAAATTTGTATAGGAATATAGTATAGTAAGACATTCTGTGTGTTACTAATTATGTCTTTTGCTCCTCCAATAAAGACACATTGTTCAATATCATGTTCAAAAGACGTGCTCGTCATTCTTAATAAACAACTAGCATAAGAATACATAAGAGAAACAGGGTGGTATCTTTATATGATACACAAGTGTATGTTACAAGAATTCCATTAGGCACAGGAGCCTCAAGGATTTAAGGCCTCAACATCAGGCCAAATGAGAGAGAAAGAAAGAGAGAGAGAAAGGAAAAAAGAGAGAAGGAAGTGTGGTAGTTTGTACTTAACATCTAAAAATGTCACTTTTAAGGTCTTAATAGAAATTGATTTTCTTCTCCTTATAAATCATAATTGCAGGACATCCCCCTCTAGGACATGTTAGTGTCCAAGCACAAGGAAACTGCAAACCACCTTTTTTTTAAGGTCAAGCAGATATCCACCGTTTTCTGCTTCCAAGTTCATGAGCTTGAATGTAGTGGCCCACCCAGGCCAAGTCCACCAATTAAATTTGTTTTCTTCACATCATAAAAAACCCCAAAGTCAACCTACGGAACCTCAGAGCTCCTAAAGAAAGAATGCAGCCTTCAATGTGTCCAGAAAGCTGATGCAAAAGGGTCAGATACACAATGGAAAGGGTCTTATTAACCAGAAGCCTAAAAGGGCTTCTTAACTACACCAATTAAAAAAAAAACTTAGGCATCTCCTTTAGTGTAAAAGGCTGTACAATTGATCCTGGCCTTGCTGCCACTCCACCCGGCCCAGTTACACCCAGCACCCTTTTCCTGAACTGGGAGGGATGCCTTTAGTGCATGGTGCTGACACTGGCCACCGCAATAGCTTCTTGAATTTCTCGTATCACCAGAATCCGGGTAAGCATTTGCTCCATTTGCTCTCGACTGATTGGCTGGATGGAATACCAGATAGGACTATTGGGAGCCACCACTGGTTCAGGAGTCAAATAGAATGTATCATTTCTGCCTTTCACAGTTTGCGGGCTAGAAAGAGACAAAGAGACAAGAAAGAGACAAGAAACATTAGTGTTTGCTTTAGAAATGCTATTAACACTATATTAGGAACAAGGGCTGTTTCCTCTTCCTCTACATGAAATTCATATGCAAAATAAAATCTGAAAAGCACAAATTAATCTGGTTTATTGTAGATTATGAAATCAGATTAAGATAATCTGTAATTAGAATAAAATAATTCTTATCAATAGAAACTTTAAGCATATGCTACATCTTTCTTACTCTTTTTTTTCTCCCTTCTATTTTTCACAAAAAGGGGCCTGTTTTTTGTCAAAAAAGGGCATTAGGAAGCTTATAGAGTCCTCCTGGGGGCTGGGGGGGGGAATTGAGCAAAAAACTGGCCCATTTTTTGCTCATTTCTGCCCTCCCCAGCCCCAAGCTCTCTGAAAGCCTCCATAAGGCTATGCACGTGAAGGAGGCGGGGTTTCAGGATGCAAAAAAATGCTGTACTCAGTGTATAAGATGCACCCAGATTTTCAACCTCTTTTTTGAGAGAAAAGGTGCGTCTTATACTCCGAAAAATATGTTGATTAACAAAAGATCCACATAAATCAGGATGTCTCCCACACATGGTTTAGTACAGGACTAACTGTAGGATATAAATTAAACTAAGAAAATAATTTAAGATTACAGGCTTGGGATTCCTATTTGCAAAGCCTTTAATGTATATGAAGCTTGTTCAAACACTGTTTATTTGTTCATTAGGCACTGTGAAGGAGTCAACACTTGACTCCTTCACAGAGGGACTCTGGGTGGTGTACAAATAACATAGGCCTTCACTAACCAGTCCCAGAGCTGCATGCTCTTCTATTAGACTCAAGCAAGATGGCAAACCCAGTTCTTGAGCATTTTCCAAAGGCCAGGAAACTAGGAGCCCATCTCACCTAGGTGGAGAATGTTCCAAAGGGTGAGGGCAACAACAGAGAAGGCTCTCTTGCTTGTGCAAGTTGGAATTCTTTAACTAACAGGATCTGCAACATACTTTACCTGCCTGACTTTTCTTCAGCCACATATTAAAATGTTATGAATCAAGCATTTCTGTGACTGCAGGTTATTCTCACTTAATGACAAGTGGGACTGGAACTATACAATTGTAAATCTGATGTCACATGACTGCACTGCTTAGCAATGGAAATTCTGACATTCCCAATTGTCACCAAGTGAATAGCTATGCATCATTAAGTAAGGCTATCAAGTGTCACTACTTGTGACCTTCTGCCAAGTTCCCCACTTATTTTTCTTGTAGGAAGCCGGCAAAAAAAGTCACGATAGCTACATTGGATGTTGAAGGACAACCTGTACCAAACTACCTATAAACTGAAAGCCCTTGAAGATAATGTTCAATGGACAATTGTGATGGGAAAACTCACCATTTGAAGAGGTAGAAGTCATAAAGTTTTATAGGACACCTCAATGGGTTTTCAGGATTCTCTGTCTGCTCTGCATACATGTCATCTGTAACTGCAAATCAACCCCAAGAGATACAGAACCATGAAATACATTCTTATCACAGATGAATAGATGTCAATGTTATTAATAGAACAAAGAACATGTTTTTTGTAATCTCTGCTATCTTCGTTATTGCATATGCTACCAAATACTATCTTCCAAACAGTTCTTGAAAATAAATAGGAGCTTTCTTAATAAGGCATTGCATGTAGTAGAAATGTAATTTATCAAAGGCTTGATGAATGACTACCAGAAACATTGAAAGTGAAAGCAGCAACTTTACACATAGCAAGCGGGATATTTCCAACAGATGACATTCATGTGGTCTTTACCAGACAATTTATGTTCTATTTATTGCACAAAGTCGATGTAATAGACCTTAAAAAGCTCTGCAAAATGAACATAGCTAAGTATTAGAAATTTTCATCCTCCTCCCCACCCCCCACCCCGAAATTCTTTCTACCTTTCTGGCCTGCCTGGTGGATGCCAAGAGCCTTCAGATACCGAATGCTTGTACTCTTATCTTTAGGATTAGAAGGGTTCTTCTTAGTCTGCCTCAAGACTTTTGAAAAGGCCAGTTTCATATGTTGATCTACTGTTTTCAACAGGAAATATCTGTAGACACAGGAGAAGTACTCATTGAATTATATTCTCTGTCCCAAATCCAGAAAAAAAAACCCACCAATGTCCCCCATATCCACCAATGATCAAACATTTCTGGACTATGGACCTAAGCATGGAGTATCTAGACTTCAACAATCAAGGATATGTGCGTGTGTGTGTGTGTATAAAAACGTGGTTAAACTTAAACAAAAGATTGCTGCCTTACTATTTCTACTTGCCCTACTATTCACTTTCAGAGAAAAATATTCATTATTAGAGCAATTTGCTTCAACGAGGGGAAGCTCCATGTTCAAAATAAAGAATAAAGTGCCTTCCAAATGATATAGAAATACTATAGTAAAAAAATCTATTCTTAAAAGTATTAGGATGGCATTTTCAGAAAACAGAAGGCTGGACTGCAGCCAACATTTCTGAAACATGTGAAGCCAGTTGCCATAAAGAACAAACATGCATTTCTTACGTCTATTGACTATAGGCTGATCATTCTGCAGACAGAGTTAAAACCACTTATGGTTAATGATGAAAGCAGAATTTGAACTAGAAAATTATTGATCCATAATTTCTTTGTAAATGTATTATAACAGCTGTAGATTTATATTTAGTCTGCATGTTTGTTTGCTTATTTATTAAAATTTTATGCTGCCCATCTCCCCTACAAGATGACTCTTCCACATTTTGCTGGAAATTTGATTTGAACTTACTAATTCAAAATTATTGGAAAAAACAGGATTCTGTCTATTTTAAAATAATTGGAATGGTTTTATTTAAGTAATGCTTCCATTAGTACATACTTTGTATTAAAAAACATGAGAGTGGTTAACAAGGTAGCAGGAGAGTGAGCGCCGAGCTGTTTACACTCCCATAACATCTCTTCTGTCACATGGCTTGGAAGAACATATCCTGTGCAGATAAAAAGAAAGCATCAATACAGAGATACCAAACTGATGCTCCTCCTAAGAAAAGATACAAACATTGCATTTCTCAATATTGTAACATTAAGAGAGCAAAAAAATGATGTTTCTTGTGATAACAAATTCACCAATTGTTCAGTTATTGTTAAATATTTACATACTTCACTCAACTGTCTGTTTGAAGATTCTCTTACCCAAAGAAGTGATCCTAGGCTGCACATCCTTGAGAACTTCGTGTAACCATTCGGTGAACCGTATGTAATAGAGATCTGAGAAAATGTCATCAACTCGCCCATTTTCAAATAAGTACTGCAAGAAAGAGTAACACAGGGGAGGAAAAAAATATACCGTGATGTTCATTAATGAAATGAAATGAAATGACAGGCTGTATATTTAATTTCATATTCAAAATCCCTACCAGCCTAAAGTAAAAAGTGAAAGCATTTTAGTTCAAGTTCAAATAAGCTAATTTCAGAAAAAATGACTCAACAAATACGTGCCCTTTATTTTCCTCAGACATCCAAAGATTTATGTTTTAATGTACCTTTCGAAGTATAAGACGCTCCGAAGTATAAGATGCACCTACTTTTGGGGAGGAAAACAGGGAGGGGGGGGAAATTTACCCCTGCCTCCCAGCAATTTGCTTCCTTGCAGCCCCCCAACAATGCTGTTTCAGGCTGCTCTGTGCGCCCCATTTTTTGCCTCCAGATCCTGTTTTCAGCCTCCGCATGCCCTGCTTTCAGCCTCCATGTGTCCTATTTTCCGCCCGTCCTGGGCGGTGGGGATCGGAATGGGTGGAAAACAGGGCATGCAGAGGCCAAAAATATGATGTGGAGGCTGAAAATGGGGCGTGCAGAGGCAGCAATAGGCAATGGCAATCCCTGTAGCCTGAAACAGCTGATAGTCGGGAGGCCAATCCAACTGACAATCAGCTGCTTGTGCTAATCAGGCTGTGCTGAAGCTGAAATTGCTTGCTGTTTGCTGCAAGGAGGCAAATTGCTGGGAGGCAGAGGCCAAAGGGTGGGGGCTGGCGGGGCTACAATTGGTGTATAACATGCACCCAAATTTTCACCCTCTTTTGGGGGGGGGAGTGCATCTTATATGCCAAAAAGTATGGTATATACGGTAATTTTAACCAGGGTTTTAAAAATCTAAAAAACAATCTATCATATGAAATCCTCACATTCATCCAAGCAGCCTGCAAGTCTTAGACATTACTTCTCTCAAGACTGAATTAAACGGGGCTAATACTTATTCAGCTAAATTTTCAAAATTACATTCACAGCTATTAAAACCAGCAGTTGTAGTAATGAAAATTGCCAACATTTTGATATTCACTCAAATATATAGGGAGTCCTCAATTTACAACCACAATTGGGAATGAAATTTCATCATAAATCAGTAAAGCGGGTTATGTGATCAGACCCAATTTACGACCATTTGTATTATGGTGGTTAAATGAATCACGTGAATCATGTCAATCAGACAATACATGGGTAGTAATTTTGCAAAGTTTTAGGGATTTCTCTGAACTGTTTGAAATATCAGTACCCTCTTAACTATAAAAGTACAGAAGAACAAGTTGTAAAATACTAACATAAAATTTCAGTAGAATGAAATTCTGATACAACAAATACTATTTCGCTTCTAAAACCTAGATATGTTTAAATTTCAGAATATATCAGTAAAATGCTTCTTTATAAGGCATACATCTAGAAAGAAACTTTTCTTCTTTTCTTTTTTATATTTTTTTTGAATAAACACAGAAAAAACAAACACATACACACACAAACACACAAAACCATCTTCCATTACAAATTGTAGAAAGTGTCGATTGGTTACAAAAACTTCTGTGCATCCCTTCCACAGTCATAACCTACAATTCATATCAAATCATATATTTTAAATCAAATATATATATATATATATATATATATATTACTATCATACCTCAACCTTCATTTGACTATAATTNTTAAATTTAAACTATCTATTCCCACTTATGACTATAACCATGTTGCTTGTATCTTTAAAATTTATATTGTTTTATTCATTTCCTAATATAATTTGATTGCTTATTAGTAACCTATGACTATCACTAGGTGTTGTATCTTATGATTCTTGATGAATGTATTCTATTTTATTTTTCTTTATGTACACTAAGAGTATATGCAACAAAGACAAATTCCTTGTGTATCCAATCACACTTGGCCAATGAATAATTCTATTCTATTGTCAGGAAACAGAAAGGATAGCTAAAATGACCAGAAGATACTCCTCCTTGACCATCAATATGGAATGTAAAGAACAATGATTCCACAAATGTTTATTTTGCTCTGAGTTCTAACCACCCAATGAAAGTAAAGGTACATATAGCTGGAAGAAGAGGTCTCTTTCACTGCTAGTTAGGAAAGAAACAAAGCCTATATTCTCAGGTATTCACACTAGTGAAATTATTACTACTAGATTATTAGATTTACTATGTCAGGAACATTTTGAGTTTAAAGGCTCCTTATTTCCTACCATCATCCATACACATCGTTCCAATCATTTTTTTAAAAATTCTACGCTATATACAATTGCGCTTAAGTTATAAAAATCCTCCACCAGGGGAATCTTAGGACATCCCTTTACAGAGTAACCGAGAGGGGACTAGCCTACACTAATAATCACGCGCGGCGGTGATCTTTAAGGGGGCGAGGGGAGCTCACTTTTATCTCCAGCGGAAGACTCCGAGGCTCCTAAGTTTTCCTTTCGGTCCTCCCCCCCCCCGCCACCCCCCACCCCAAGCTGGCATTATCCCCGTTGTTTCGATGTTTGGCAACTGGGACTGATTGCCCCAAAAGACGTCGGTCCTCCTGCACTTTCGGAGCACCTTGTCCGCAGAGACCCCGTCCCGCCATGCGGACCAGAGCCGCGTCGCCCTCCTTGGACGCCCGCCCGGTCCATCGTCTTCAACCCTTCAAACGGTGCGGCGGCCAGGCTACCTCGGGACGGTAAGTGTGAGTGGTGATCGTCGCCGGGACGCTTGGAGAAACTCAAGCTCGGGATCATTCTCCCAACCCTCGGGATCCATCACCATCACTCCCCTCCCGCCTGACCGGGCACCGCATGGCAGGTCAGCTGCCCTGCCGCTGCCACGCTCGTCCGCCTTCCCCTCTCTTCCCTCCTCCTCACTTGTAAGTCAGCCCGTCGCCACAGTTCAGCATCTGCTGCGCCGTGAGCCCGTCGTCCGGCACGTAGCCGGTGCCGCCGCTGATCAAGTAATCGGCCATAGCCCGTCGGGTCGACTCGCGAGGGCCGTCCGACTGCTTGAGCGCGCTGGATACAATTCGCGCGCCTCCTGGCCTCAGAAAGACCGGGACGTCACCGACGCGAGACAGAAAAGAAAGGAGTGCGCGGGGAGGCCCCACCCCTCCATAGGCCCGGTGACGTCAGTGGAAAGCGGCTTTTTTCTCAAGCTCCTTGGAGGCGGGGCTGTTCTTTTCCTCCTTCCCCCCCCCCCGGCACTTATTCGAAGCCGAGCTGAAAAGTGAGAAGGGGGCGTGTCCCTTCCCCTTGCTCCCTTTTTTTTTTCCTTTTGATGCTTGAAATAAGCTAGGAGCGCTCTGGAGAGGCGACCTTCTCTCGTTCTTTTAAACGTCTGTGGAGATTCTCTGTCCTCTTAAGTCATAGTATAGTCTTTATTGTCATTGTACATCATGTATCTATACCAAGACAACTAGACACAAGAAGTTTTTTTCCTGAACACCATCACTCTGCTAAACAAATAATTCCTTCACCACTGTCAAACCGTTCAATAAGGCTGCATTAGTATTACTGTTCCTATCACCCATCTCCTCCCACTTATGACTGCAGGACTGTAACTTTGTCGCTTGTATCCTTACGATTTATATTGATATTGTTTCCGGATTGCTTATTTGTACCCTATGACTGTCATTAAGTGCTGTACCTTGATTCTTGACGAATGTATCTTGTCTTTTTATGTACAGAGAGCATAGGCGCCAAAGACAAATTCCTTGTGTGTCCACACACTTGGCCAATAAAGAATTCAATTCAATTCAATTCAATACAGCGAAATTAGTTTTAGCCTTACTGGTGCAATCCATAATACAAACAACATAAATAGTATAAAGAATAATCCCTATGCAAGTAATTAGGAAAAAAAGGGAGGGGGAGAAAAACTAGTCATTTCCACCTGTGCCTGGAGTGATTGTGGTTGATTGTGGTTGTCCCAAAGGTGTTTTTTTCAAGAGGCAACTGGACTTTCTGGTATTTCTTTGAAGACGTTTCACTTCTCATCCAAGAAGCTTCTTCAGCTCTGACTGACTGGATGGTGGGGAATGGAAGGATTTATATTCCTTAGTTATCTGGTGCTAATGAGTGCTAATGACCAAGATGGCTGCAAGGAATATATTGTAAATCCTTCCATTCCCCACCATCCAGTCAGAGCTGAAGAAGCTTCTTGGATGAGAAGCAAAACATCTTCAAAGAAAAACCAAGAAGTCCAGTTGCCTCTTGAAAAAGCAACTATGGGACTCTTGTTCTTTAGTTGAGCTGCAGGGCACCCATCCGACCTGACTCGTCCTAAACAAGGGCTTAAAAGTAGAAAAAGTCTCCAGAGAACCAAATGCATGTATCCCACAAGTAGACTAGTTCGTTTTATTTATTCTGTAGCACATTCACTTGCAATAAACAGGAGCAAAATATAAAACATAATCTGAAATCTTGATGGGAAGTTTATATCTTAAGTTGCAAATATAATTTTTTTGCTTCATTTGTTATAGGCTCTGTTTTGACAGTCACTGTTTGTGCTGGAATTTATTTTTCAGCCCCAAAGTCACAATTCGCTGATAGCACTTTGCCCCACAGCGGTGCCAAAGAAGCAAGGTTCAGAGAAGGGCTTCTGAGGCTTGAGGGGTGCACAGAAATAGCAACGAGGTAATATGCATGAAATTGCCGGTACCTCTCCTCGGCTTTTCCTTAGGGTGACTGTATGTGATTCGCTCCTCCACCCTCCATTGATGGTATTGTTTCCAAAACTTTAACCGGTGAAATCAACGGCATTTAAGGCTAGTTTACTGTGTAGTTTCTGTCTCCCTTAGAGCCAGAATGGGGCCTCAGAGTCAAACCTATTACTAAGGGAGTGTTTTATTATTATAACTTTACTGCACTGCTTTAAAAAGATCATAACCCTGGACTACTTTCAGTTGAAAGGAGAAATCAAGCCACCACTTCAGCTTTATAGCCAATGATTAAAGTGCTTATCCTTATTAACATTTTGATAAACCATAGACAGTCTCGATTTCAAAAGCTGCTGCCTAAGCAATTTAATATTTATTTTGGAAATTTTATATTGTTCATGTTTTGTTTTTTAATTCTCCAACCAGTTAGCCCATTGCCAAATGAACATAGGATGTAAAGTATTAGGATTGTACAGTCATCCAGACATCCATAACATTTGCATCTTAAAAACAGCTACATATTTTCCTCGACTTATTGAAATGCAAACAGTACAGCTGCACCTGAATGTGGTTTAAAATTGGATTTGTATTTCATTCCATAAATGCAAAGTAACAAGAATTCTTTAAGGTTTTAAAACAGTGAATGTTAAACTGAAAATGATAGAGCCATATGTAATTGTGTGTTTGTGAGTTAAAGATCCCATTTGGGATGGCTACTGCCAAAACATTTGAGCCAAAGTGTTTTTGGGGAGATGACATTATCTCCTGCAAGTCCCTTGAACTGCAAGGTGATCAAATTGCTCAGTCCTAGAGGAATTCAACCCTGACTGCACTTTAGAAGGCCAGATCCTGAAGATGAAACTCAAACACTTTGGCCACCTAATGAGAGGGAAGAACTCCCTGGAGAAGAGCCTAATGCTGGGAAAGATTGAAGGCAAAAGAAGGGGCAGCAGAGAATGATGTGGCTGGATGGAGTCCCTGAAGCAGTAGGCAAGAGATTAAATGTACTCCAGGGGATGGTAGAGGACAGGAAGCCCTGGAGGAATGTTGTCCATATGGTCACGATGGGTCAGACATGACTTCGCAACTAACAACTACGAATGACATTATTCCACACTAGAAAAAAGAGAAATTGGGTCAAACAGTTTAATAATCATTGTCTTAAAAATAAGGGATATTCTGTGTATGACTCAAAAGTACTTAGATCCCTCATATTTTGTATCTTAAAGAGAACTTAGGCAAGCTTTCATAAATAATTTACAAAAGAACTGGGAGGACATTTTTGAGTAACTGAAAATATTAATCTATTTAAACATAAAAATACATACATATTCCCAATAAGATGCATGTATGGATATGTGAAAAAGTACACACCTGTTGAAATGTTTTTCAACATAGTTCAACATATAGCTAGCTGGTCTTCATTTCAACACTATTGCTAAAGAGGATAACCATTTACATTTTGTAATCCATTGTGTAATTTAAATAGAAGTAGTGCCTGATTATTGACTATTCAAAGTTACAATGGCACTGAAAAAAGTGACTTACAACTGGCCCTCACACAACCACTGCAGTATCCCTATGGTCACATGATTATAATTCACATGTCTGGCAAGTACGGGTAATCCTTGAGTTATGACAGTTCACTTAGTGACCATTTAAAGTCACATGATAATGCCAAGTGTTTACAACTAAGTTCTGAAATTAGGAATGTTGCAGCACAGCAGTCATTCACCCTTACCAACGACCAGAGGCACTGCAATGTTCACCCTATTCCCTTTCCCATTCCCTACAGCTGCTTCTCCCCTCCATTCTGCTGTGGCAGACTCAACTTGCAAAGATCTGTTCCTTCTCTGCCGCTGTTTCTTTGCCTTTGAGGGAGAATAGAGCAGGATTACTTTCCTTCTAGCAACCAATCGGCTTGCAAATGCTTTTCCCATAGAGTGAAATATTCTGGGGGCTGTGATCTTGCGTGACTTCAGGCACCCACTCTCTGCAAAAGCGAATGGGTACGTACCTAAAGTCACATGAGATCACGGCCTCCATAAGAATTCATTCTCGGCCCGGATTTGCAAGCTGACGGGACACTGGAGGGGAAAATTGTCCTGCTCTCCACTCCCTCAAAGGTAAAGAAACCGCAGCAGAGAGTTGAGTCCGGCACAGCAGGATGGGAAGGGGGAAGCAAGAGGTATCTGTGGGTCAGTGAGGCCCTGGATGGCCTGTTCCATCATTAGGCAACCCCTCCCCCCCCATGGCCCTTTCCTACCATGAGCTACCTCATACACATAATAGCCCGCATATTCATTTAGCGAATTCATGGGTGAAAGTAGGGAGTGATCACCTTCAAGTTACATGATTCCCTCCTATGAATCCTCGAGTTAAGAATGTAATTGCCAGGCTCCATTAATTTGTAACTCGAGAATTACCTGTTGTAGTTGTAGCATCCGAGGGTAATGTGATCACCATTTGCAACCTTCCTAGCTTGCTTCCAATAAGCAAAGTCAATGGGGGAAGCTGGGTTCACTTATACCATGTGATTCACTTAACTGTCACAAGCAAGGTTATAAAATCAGGCACAACTCTTTTAGCCTTGCTTAGTAACAAATTCTGGTCCCAATTGCAATCATAAATCAAAAACTACCTGTAAACAAATTAAAATTTCATATACAGAAAAGTAAATGCATACCTACTATCACTATTCAAAGCTTAAGCTAAAGCTAAAATCAGGTGCACTAAATCAGGTGCAAGTGATTAGAACATCATTGAGAGACTCTGGTTGGAACCTGTCTTATTGGAGGTATCAAACTACATCTACCTCAGATATTGGTTTGCTCTTTGTTGTTGAAGTCCGTACTGCCACCATGCCCAAATTGAAAACGCTCTCTGTGGCCCTCAGAAAGGTGCTTTAGAACATGGGAAGAGATTTTTAAAAATTGCCAACTAGACACCAATTATTCCACTGCTTGTAAGATAATCTATAATAGAGATTTCAAACTGTTAACCTGCCCAGGCCAGGCTATGCCATTAGGTTCAGTCCAAGAGCAGAATGCAAGTTGTTGAAAAATGTCTCTAGGGACTCCACAGAATTTCACCACATGACCATCAGGTCACTCTTACCACTATTGTTGTTGAAGTCTGTGAGCCTACTGTTACAAAGCAGTTGCACAAATTAGATCTACACAGGTAATGTACCAGGATGAAACTGTTGAACACTTAGGCAAAGTTCAAGACTTCAGGTACAATGTGCTTTGGACAGATGAGGCAATGATAGGATCATTTGGCAACAGGACCAAAAGATATGCTTTATAAAAACCAAAGAACCTGATGCCAACTATAAACCATGTTGGTGGAAATGTTATGGTTTGGGCTGCCTTGCTGCATAACACCCTGCACAGCTTGTCATCACAGAAGATACTATGGGTTCTTCATTGTACTAGACCGTGCTTGAGGATAATGCGAGGCCATCTGTCAGAAAACTGAAGCGGAACAGAAAGCGGACCTCACAACATGACGACTCTAAACATTCCAGTAAATTAACTAAGGAATGGCTGAGAAAATAAATTAATGGGAATGTTCTAAAATGGCCAACTGAAATCTGGGGTCTAAATCCCATCAAGATGCTATCAAGTGATTTTAAAACAGGCTATGTATGCAAGAAACTCCTCAAGCATTACACCAGTGATGGGCAACCTTTTTGGCGTGGTGTGTCAAAAATCGGCAAAAAATCGAGCATAACTCGCGTTGTGTGTCACTTCGACAACAACATAATTTTGCGCAATTTATAGTTGCTGCTAATGGCGCTCACAGTTCCCGTTGGCACTCTGCTGTTCCCTGCTGTGGTGCGGTNCTTCAATGGCTGCGCTTCTGTCGCCAGCAAAAAGAGATTCTCCTGGATCAATCAGGGACTTTGCGGTGTCCCTGAGATCAGCAGGATGTACTCTTCCCTGTCACCGTCTCTTCGGGATGGTTTAGGTCCAAAAGGACTGTCCAGCGGGAAAAGTATTGACTGCGATCTTGGAGCTCCAAGATCGCATGTCGTGTCATTACGACGTCAACTCCTTCTTTCCAAAACTTTGTTTCTTTTTCTTATCTCATTGGCATGCATTTGAAAACTTGGGATTGTGGAATTCTTTCTCTCTCCCGCAACTCCTCCCCTTCAATACCACACAATCATTCTAGTCATTCAAGAAATATTTGAAGTCTTCAACTTAATAAAAATGGTATTAAGGGAGGTTTTTTTTATCTGTAAACCTTATTAGCAAAGTTAGTTGTTAGGTAAGTATTTTGTAATTGCATTATTTTTTAAAAAATATAATAAATACATGGTAAATATTTGGTTTTATTGCTTTTGTGTAATTTTTGTGTAAGTCTTATTTTTCCACTCCAAATATCTCTAAAACTATTTGCAGTATTAAAACCAACTATAGCAAGTCTTTCCATGATGGCACACCTTTTGAATGCAGAGAAAGATATAGTAAAGTACATCTGGATCATAGGGCTCGCCTTCACTATTGCGAGCTTCACGAGTCATTAAGCACAATCCATAATTTAATTCTGCTACAGCTGAAGATATGAGATCTTCTTGGAATCTCAATAACTGGCGCCCTGCAAATGAGAAGATAAAATCACCAAATGACATTTAAAATCCCTATTTAAATCTCATTTTCTTGACCCTTTAAATCAACCCACTCTGCTACAAAATCACCTCTTCCTCCTTCAGTATACTTATTGATGAATAAGTAACTAATTAATATTTTAAATCTTGATATTGAATATACAGCCTGTGCTCATCAAAATTTTTGGGAAGTCATCTAGAACCCTTCCAAAATTTGCTGCTAATTGTAACTTTTGGTCTGACAGAATATAAAACTACATGATAACACCAGTAACACTGTTAGCTATAGTTAATAATTCATTAAGTTACCAAATTTAGTTTTTGTCTTGCCCCCATCAAGTTTTGGAATATAGGCCAAGGGTTACAACCACAACTGGGACAGAACACCTGTCACCAAGCAATGCAGTTAAGTGAGTTGCATCCATAATTTCACCACCTTTTTTTGATGTGGTCACTAAGTGAATACTGTTAACTAAACCCAGCTTCCTCCATTGACTTTGCTTGTTGAAACCCCATGGGAAGGTTGCAAATGGTGACTACATGATTCCACAAAGCTGAAACTGTTGTAAATACATGCCAGTTGCCAAGCACCTGAATTTTGATCTTGTGACAAGTGGGGAAAATGCAATCGTTTTAAATGGGAGGATTGGCTGTAAATTACTTTTTGCACTGCTGCCATAGCTTCAAATGATCCTAAAATAAATAGTTGTAAGTCAAGGACTACTTCTATCTCACGTAAAACACCCAGTATGGCCCCCTCCCAAAATACACCCATAATGCATAGTTTTTTGAAACAGCATTAGGCTTTTTTTAAAAGTGGTAAGGCTCATTTTATAATGCAAGCCTAACAAATATAATGAAGGTTTATTATGCTACAATTTTTTTTCCACCAAAATCAATGCAATGCAATTGAGGACATGGTCAACTGGAAAGCCTAAGGCACTTACTACCAATGGGTGCAAGCCGGTTCTGTGATTCTTTTTCCATCTCTGCATTTTTAGTCTGTGCCCAGCTCTTCCATACTTCTAGTCCTTCCTCTGGCTTGAGAGACTGCGGAAGGAGAAGTTCGGGGGAAGGCTGAGGCTGTGGTTGCTGTTCCACTTCAGCTACCTGAACAGTTTGTGCCTGTGGAAGAAAGTCATTTTAGCAATTCCTGCTGGGATTTCTTTAAAGTAAAAAAAAAAAATTCTTCACAAGTTTGGTCTCTGTTTTGTATGGTTATGCTTACGAAGACATTGGTAATTTCTTCAAAGAATTTCTTACTTCCAGAAATTATTAGGCAGATATCACTGAGAAACTCCTATTTGCTCTATAATCAAAAAACGAAAATGCAGTAAACTTCACTTTGTTGCAAGAGGTATTCAAGGAATTTTCAAGTCCAACACAGACACTGACACTTCACATAATTATGCTCCAAAGTAAAATTGATTCCCAGTTCCATTAATATAAATTTTACTTCCATTTAGGTGCCAGCTAACTCCAAAATTATTCTGACCTGTTGGCAATATGATAAATAATATAATAATAAAAACAGTATAAAGCAAGATGACATGCAACGAAGAGCAACAAAGATGATTAGGGGACTAGAGGCTAAAACATATGAAGACCGGTTGCTGGAATTGGGTATGTCTAATTTAATGAAAAGAAGGACTAGGAGTGACATGATAGCAGTGTTCTAATATCTCAGGGATTGCCACAAAGAAAAGGGGAGTCAACCTATTCTCCAAAGCACCTGAAGTCAGGACAAGAAGCAATGGATGAAAACTAATCAAGGAGAGAAGCAACCTAGAACTAAAGAGAAATTTCCTGACAGAACAATTAATCAGTGGAATGACTTGCCTCCAGAAGTTGTGAATGCTCCAACACTGAAGTTTGTAAGAAGAGACTGGATAACCATTTATCTGAAATGATATAGGGTTTCCTACTTAAGCAGGAGGCTGGACTAGAAGACCTCCAAGGCTGCTTCCAACTGTGTTATTCTGTTGCATGCACTCACTCTATGCAAAGGCATAGAAAAAAAACAGATTCACAAGGGGCTCTCTCCATCTTAACCTAAGACTTAGGAAAACAATCAAGTTTTCAAGGTCTTACAGAACCCTAACAGTAATGGGACAAATTTCAGAGGAGAGTTTATTCTAGAAAACAGGCACAATAAAGTCTCCTGGCTTCCAACAGAGGCCACTATTTAATCGAAGGAGCCTGGACTGCATTAACTCTATCAGCATGTGCCAGGCAGATAGAAACTCCAGCAGTATCTCAGATAATTTGGCCTTAGGACACACAGGACTTTAACAAGTAAGAACCAACAGCATAAATCACACTTGCAGGCATACTGCACAATTCGTGAAGCAGAGATGTCACATAATCATACAAAGAATGCCTGCTGTTGCTAATGTTAATAGCATTTTAACCAAGTGTCTTTCAAGGGCAGCCCCATACATTGCTATAGTCAAGGCTACTCCAGGAAGGGATCTAACTAGTAGGTATATTAGGTAGAATTGTGTGTGCAAAGGATCCCTTGGTCACAGTTGCTTTTTAAAGCTTTAAACAGGAGTTGGGATTACATAAGGATTATGCATGGTTTTTTAATGGAGAAGCACTACTCCATCCAAGAATATGGGTGAAAAATATTTGGCTCCAGGAGGACTTAATATTAACAGCCATTCAGTCCCGATAAGATTGTGTGGAGTAGATTACTCCCTACCCAGTAATACTTACTTACCCTTTATTAAAACAGACGGACTCAGAAGTAACAGTATAGTAAGCACTATGGTGAAGAAACTACTAAATCAGAAAGAATCTAAATTATGAAAAATGCACGTGGGAGGCCACAAGTTCTCAACCATTATTGTAATGTAGAAACTTTTCAAATGTTAAGTACTAGCAAGAAGAGCAGACAGCATTTGGAATGTGGCCTTCTAAAAGTCAGAGACATACAAACAACCAAATGGTAGTACAAAAAACTTTGAGAATATTCTGCTCAAGCCAGGAAGCTTCTCTAAATCTAAAACAAACTGTAGGTGTGTAATTTTTCTGTGTGAGGACTCTATAATTTTGCTTATAGTCACTATAGGAACATTCTGAAAGTAAATAAGGAAGTAAGTTTACATAAATTAACACTAGCCAGAATTTTTAACTATGTTTCCTTCAACAAATTATAGTTGGCACGCATATAAATAGCTTAGTGAGGTATATGTGCCGACCATGGTTGTTAAAGAAAATTTGGACAGCACCAAGTTTTCATCATGCTAAAGGAATAATTCACCATTAGTATACATGCGTTTTATACATTCAACCTATAGTTTAGAACTAGAAAGGGTCATTTAAGCAACCAAATCCAACTCCATGATAGGCGCAAGAATCCAAATTAAAGCTGTAACAAATGGCAGTCCAGTCTCTGAATATACTGAGTAAACAGCAGGCTACCACGTCTTGATAATTGATTCCATTGTCAAATTTTCCTTACTATTATAAATTTTTAGAAAGCTTCTATTTTCAAACCATAACATAAATAACTTTCATTCATGTATTCATTATTTTGGATCCTTTTTAACATTTCAACAGTGCAGCTACAAATAGCATATACAGTAAGTACTACCCATGATAATATAGAACATAAAAATATAAACATTGGAAACACTGCTTTTTTCTATGCCATGTTCCTCAAACAAAACCAAAGAATTAATATTGCATCCCACCCTCTTAGTGCAGCATTTTTGTTACTTTATCATCTAAAAGAAGTATATTTAGCCTGAAAATTGCATCATACTTTATGTCTAGCACAGTTTTTAAAAAACAAGAACGTTATACAAGTGAAAAATTGTTTAACTTCTGCAATTATACAAAATTGGATCTAACAATCTAGATTACAAAAATCTTTGTATAGTAATAGTAAGACAGCTTATTTTACTATAGCTAACGTTTCTGCAGAATTCATTGTCAAAAAAAAGAAGAACCAGGCAATTTATCATCTTTGGCTAACTGATTTTATGTTCTTGACATTCTCATCTTATATCAGCTTTTCCATCCAAGGAAACCAAACTATGTGAGAACACAGTAGTAATTGATTCAGAACAAAGTGTGCAATCCAGATAAATTCATAAGCCATACTGACTCATATCTGACAGATCACTCAAATTCCCAAAATACACTTACAATCTAAGGAGAAAACTCACCAGGAAGAAGCAAATGATGGTGTAAATGGGTACTCTCAGCTTACACCTTTCTTATCTTTCTTAGGTCCTTTACAGTTGGAAAACTTGAAAGACCAGGTTTAGGACAGAAAGTCACGGAGAAAATCTATCTACTATGTAGTCACTAAGAGTTGACAATAACCTGATTGCACATAATCAATCAATCAATCAATGCTATCTAAATTGGTTGTCACTGTTAAAGCTTCTGACCTTGAATGCATTGGTTGTATGTAAGTGGTATGAAATGGCACTTCCATCTATCTGCCCTAAATCTCTCACCATTCAGCTTCACTGGATGATTAAGCATTATAAGTGAGCAATTCTACCCCCACCCCATCAATTTCCTTCAAATCATGAACAATGGAAATTTTCAGAAATTGTCCCTCATTTTCCCAAGGCAAAGATTCTCAATTATTGCAACCTTTCCAATATACTCCTATTCCTTATTAATTTTGATGTTATTTCCTTCCTGCAGTATTCTAAGCATGGGTGTACTAACAATTTGAACAAAAGCATTTCAATAATTGTATTCCCATTGACATTCTTGAAGATAAAAATATATTTAAAAGCACAGAATATAAGTATTCAGAACACAGTAGACAGTCTTCCTTTTAAAACTGTTATCTTTTACAGAGATGACAGAAAATCCTGCCCATCTTCAATTATTCAACCCTATAGAGGCTTGCATAAAGATAGCTTACTTACAGAGCAAGTAACTTGCAATTGTTGTTGTTGCTGCTGCTGCTGCTGCTGTGCCTGCTCTTGTGACGTGGACTGCTGCTGTTGTGGGTCCCATATATGAACCGTTTGTGCTGCATTCTGGTAGGTCCCTGCCACTGCTTGCACTGCCACTGGAATGTGGATATTGCCATTCATAAACTGTGCTGGGAAAAGGGAATTGGCAAGAGTTTGCACTACTTCCTCATGAGAGTTTTTCACTACCGAGGCACCTCCCACCATCTTATCCTTGTCATCTTCTAGCTTCACGGTGGCCAAAGTTGTTGGGGAGCCACTAACATGGACGGCATTGTAGGCCTCCTGAGGAATGGCAATATGGGTAATGTTTTGTTGCTGTAGGTCACCGCGTGGTTGGGCAGAATAAACAGGGATTGTCCAAGTCTCACCAGTGGGACTAGTTATGGTCCCGGTGGCACTGTACAGGTGGGCACTATCCACCGTTAACAAGTCCGGCCTTAAGGATACATAACTCTGCTGCTGGCCCTGGGGGATGGTCAGAACTGTAGCCACCGGTTGCCCTGAAATAGCGTAGGACACAGTAATAGGCATATCCACTTTGCGTTTCTTTACTGGCTGAAGGACGCTGGCGGTGCTGATCCTTCGTTCGCCTTCCCGTGGTGAGCCTTGCTGAGATGGAGGAGGGGAAAGTGCCCCCACTGTCTGGATTTGGATTTGCTGTCCTCCAGCAATTGCCTGCCCTGCCACGAGCTGGGCTTGGATCTGCTGATGCTGTATGTGTTCCTCCTGTATTTCTGCAGCCTGGATTTGCTGAGCAGTCTGCACGTGCTGCACCTGAATCTGAGCCGCCTGCAACTGAGAAGGGCTAGGGCTCTGAAGGGCCTGACCCTGTATTGTCTGGGGTGCTTGCTGCTGTGTTTGGCCTTGGATCTGCACCTGGACTTGTATTGGCTGCTCTGAAGCTTGGTGAACAGTGAGCTGAGGAGAGAGCTGCTGGGTGGACACCGGTTGAGGGGACTGCTGAACCTGAACCTGCACCTGCAAAAGCAACACATGAGCAGTTAGTGTATCAACTCCAAAATCCCTGAGACATTTTGAGGGTCAGAAGCGTATCAAGTTAAATAAAAACCAGGATTAGGACTTAAATATAATAGGCATCCAAACAGATGAGCAACTACATGACAGTATCCATAAAGAAAAAAATAGTTAATACTTCTTGGTAGAATCACAAGCAAAAAAAAAATGTATTACAAGTCTACCATCACCTGCTGCATAAATGATGGGTCAGCCACAGTGAAAATTCCAGATCCCGTTGCAACAAATACGCTGCAACAGGGCCGGGCGTCCACCACGTGCGCATGCGCACCCACTGCCGACACTCAGCTGCTCAGTGGAGCGTCATGCAGGCACCGTACGCTCCATGCACATATGGCCCGGTTGGGTCAAATACAGGTAAGGAGGGCGGGCCTTCCAAGACACCATACCAGAACGGTACCTGGTGCTCCCAGCAGGTACTGGTACACCCGTACTGGGGCGTACAGGCCGTAACCCACCACTGGCCAGTCACTATGTGCAACTTACATGAGCAGTGGACTGGCATGCATGCTCGTGAATGCCCGCAAGCCCACCGCTTGTGCGAGTTGTGTGCTTGCGCACATGCCAGCTGCTCACATGGCCCAATTCCAAGTAGGCCTCGGCCAGGCAATGGGCTGCAGCCCAGGGGTTGAGGACCTCTGATCTATGTCCATTGACAACAAAAGCCAGTTATCAACAATCAACCTATATGGACCATCCTTATATCCAGTTTGCCAC